CTACTGTATCTCACTGCAAGTGTCTGTCATTTCACTTGCGGTCACTGTTGCTCGCGCGCTCAAACAGCACCTGGGATCCTTTGTTTTTACTCCTCGCCACGCCACGCACATGTTCCATCACCATCACCATCACCTCATCTTCATTTTCCGCACATGCTCTCTTATCAAGGTTCCCTCGTTCCTCTTCCGTCTCCCATGTTACGTATGGGTTGTATTGTTGCGTGCTGGTGGAAATTAACATTTGTGTGTGGAAGGCACACCCAATTTGGCCACGCCGTACTTACAGCTGTGCCACGTGTGGCGTTTGCCTCTCGTCACTCATCCCTGTGTGTCAGCCACGTGATGCCACCTTTTCGGCCGAAAGAGGCACTCGCTGCCTCTCATGCTGGGCCTACTCATGTCATAGTTACTCTGATGGCTGGACGCACTCTCTATCTCACACCACACTCCGACCTCCTCCTGAGGGAACGTGGCAGCTGTGTCTGTCGTCGGTTTGCCATCGCGTTTATTCGTGATAGATTTCTTTTCAAGTTATTACTCTGTGCTTGAATCGCAGTTCTTACCTATCCCCATCCTCTTCATTCTCCCCCTGTTCTCAACCCCATTCTTTCTAATCTGACCTATCTGCGTGCGTTATCGTTGGTTGTTCAGATCAAGAAGATCAGCAACAAGAAGAAAGATGAGAAGGACAAGGACGAGGATAAAGCAGACGGAGAAGAGGAGTCAGGGGAAGAGGAGGCGGGAGAAGTGGAGGAAGAGGGGGAGGAGGCCGAGGAGGCAGAATCAGGTGAGGATGAGGATGGAGACATGGAGGATGAGGATGAGGAAGGGGAGGAGGGGGAGGAAGGGGAAGGAGAGGAGAAAAAGGCTGGGGTGGGAAAGAAGGGGAAGAAGAAGCGGGTGAGTGGGTCCCAGGAGAGTGCCGTGTATTTCGATGCGGCTAAGGCAAAGGAGGCGACAGCGGAACAGATGGAGAAGCGGCGGCAGCAGCAGAATGAGCGCAAGGACAAGAAGGAGGAGAAGCGGCGGCGCAAGCAGCACATGCTGAAAGCCAAGCTCAAGGCGCAGGGCGGGATTAACAAGGGGTGGGGGGGACGAGGCGGAGGAAGAGGAGGATTTAGGGGAGGCCGAGGTGGGAGAGGTAGAGGGCGGGGGTTTGGTGGGGACCGGGGAGGGGGGTTCGGCGGGGGCCGGGGAGGGGGGTTTGGGGGGGGCCGGGGAGGGGGTTTTGGAAGGGGGCGAGGGGGCTTCGGCGGGGGCAGAGGAGGGGACAATTTCTAGACTAGGTTGTGTATGAACCAGCTAAAATGCAGCTGTTGCTTATTGTCAGTGTTTGTTACCACTTTGACTAATAGTGAGACCTGGCTGGTCTGCCGACGAGCAACTGCCCTGCCGTGGTATTGTGCAAGGCTACTTACAATACTGCAAGATGTCTTGGGCAACTGCTGAGCAACTGCTCCGCATCTTGCTGGGTTCAAGCAATGTAGGAGTGGTGTTTTAAAAAAGGTGATAAATATTATATCTTAACGGGAGTGGTTAGTACAGTTCTTGCCGTTATGCGGAGCTTTCGAGGGAGGTCAATCGAGGCAAGTGACCCACTCGTGTTGTCGCCGTCGTTTTCTTCAACGGCTCCGACATTCGAATTGCACTTGGAAAGTCCAGCAACCAACCGCATCACCCCACAGTCGGTTTATCCGACATCCGAGCCGTCCGTGATCGTTGAGTGGACAGCGACTCCATTCCCTAAATCCCCACCGTTCGCTTCCCCTCCCTGCATGATCAACCACGGTTCCACGTCGTACGCGTGGGTCGCCATGACTCACCACCCCGCCATGTCCACAATGCCTTCCGCACACATGGACTCCATGCCAGCTCCCCTCCAGCATGTAATCTGCGCACAGATTTCGCGACGAGTATTCTCCTTGCACGCTTTCCCTGCCCACTAGATGGTGACGCTGCGGCTGTTCCTCGGTATAGCCACTACTAATCATGGAGGGATTCTCTTTCTCAGTCGTGTGTTTCCTTTCGTGCTGGGATTTGAAGAGTCTTTCGCACTCAGATTCGTGTGTTCTTCCTCTCAACTCCCCGTCCTCTCGTTGCGAACAAGGCTCGACGGCTCCTTATATGCCGGTCATGGCGTCCCAAATGCTCCTCGCGTCCAGCAGCGGGAGTGCTGCTCCGTGCAGCACTCGCCTGCTTCCACCATCGGGAACTCCAGCCGCAAGGAGCAGCAGCAACAGCAGCTGCAGGAACTGCAGGAACCGCAGCGGCATCTCTCCTCACGCCCTTCTATCCATGCCAACCTCCCGCTCTTCCGTCCTTCCTTCGCGGCGCTCCTTGCCGTCGCTGCGCAGCGCGTCGCCCTCCCTGCCACGGCAAACCTCCGTCAGGCGGCACGCGATTGAGTGCTCGCAGTACAAAGGAAAATTCCCGCTCAACCCACCACCGATTCCGCCGCCATCGCCGCCCGCGGAGTCCCTCTTCGCGATTCTCGCCAACACGCACACGCTCCTCGAGCTCGCGCTCGCCGTCGCCGTCCCCCTTATAAGCGGCTCCATCGTCGCGCTAGCAGCGAGTCCGCTGCAGGAGTGGTACGCGGAGCTGCAGCGGCCGTGGTTCCAGCCGCCCGATTGGCTCTTCGGCGCCACGTGGTCGATCCTGTATCCAATCATGGGCGTCGCGTCGTTCCTCGTGTGGCGCGAGGGCGGATGGGCGGCGCAGAGAGGACCGTTGCTGATGTATGGCGCGCAGCTACTGGTGAATTTGGCGTGGCCTGTCGTGTTCTTTAAGATGCACAGGATTGGTGCCGCGCTGGGGGTTATAGGTAAGCATGCCTTCCCAGGCCTTTGCCCTGGACGGAACTGCGTTTATTCGTCCCTTCTTGAACCCAGTGCCTATTAGACGTCTTACTGGAAAATCCGTTTCATTATATCGTTGACTCTGCAATTGGCATCCTTTGTGCGTTCCTGATTCGTCCGCACCATCGCCAGCTGCACTGCATCCGGATCCACAAAACATCTCATCCATACCCACTTTCATCTCCCTTACCCCCCTCCTCTCTGCACCTTTTTTTCCTCCCTCCTGCGCCTCCCCCCACTTTCCCCTTCCCCAAAGCAGCGCTCCTCCTCCTCCTGGCGTGCCTCACGCTCCTCTCCTTTGCCACAGTCAGCCCGCTGGCATCAGCTCTCTTCCTGCCCTACGTCCTCTGGGTGGCCTTTGCAACAGCACTTAACCTCGCGCTCTGGTTCAGGAACAAGGGCAACACACCCGGGAGAGGGGGTGGGGGGGGCGGAGGGAAGAAGTGGGGCGAAGGAGGTGGAGGGGGAGGGGGATGGGGAGGTGATGATGGGGATGGGGGGCAGGGAGTGAGTGTGAAGGCAGAGCGTGGGAACTGGGGAAACGTTGTGGTGAGCAGGGCTTTGTCTTTCGTCTTGGGGAGTCCGGCTGCTGCTCATGCTGCTTCTAACCCTGCTGCTACTGCATCTCTTTCTCACAAGCAGCAACGCAAACGGCAGCGACGGCAGGACTTGGTGGTTCGACAGTCAGATTACAAAGGGTATTCACTTGGCGCACTCAACATTGCTCCTGTGGGTGCGGGGAAACCCAGAAGCCATGCCTCTGGTGCGACAGGCAATAGCAGCTATGACAGGGATTGTGCTGGCGCATCAGGAGAAGCTGCTACCCACTTAGTTGGAGCTACTGCTGGAGCTGTTAGGTCTGAATCCTCTGATGGATCTAGCACCTGATAGGGACAGAAGGATGGAAGTTTCTCTGTACAGCACTTGTGTTTGAAAGTATGGGCCAGTTAGGGCTAGGGTAGGGTGCATATGAAATGCTAGTGAAATTGTGTGCAAGATGGCAATGCCACATTATATTGGATTGAAGATGGATTACCATACCATACATCATAGTGGGAAAAATAGGTGGAATTAATAAGAAAAATAAAAAAGACAATCCCTGAATATTATATTGATCCCTTTCAATCAAAGCTGGACAACCAAAGCTGGTCAATACCTAGCTTTCATACCATGATGTCTTACAATTGCTTGTTCTCTTCCTCACTCACCCCCGAATATAATTTCACAGAAGAAGTTAACTGCTGGAAATAACAGAGGTCATAAGTGAGTACTGCTGTCTGTGAGTGAGCTCAAACAGGTGACCCGGTAGTGGTAATCAACATGATGACTTATACTGGTTTAATATTTCCACGTTTTCCATATTCGCTGTACATACAAAGGTTCATGTTCTTTTGCCGAGATTGTGGTGCCGCACATTAGCGAAACCGGAGGGGGTAATTTCCGTTGACAGTCTCCACTTGTCTCCACGTTTATATTTCTATCCGTCCACCTTCCACAACCACCACAATGGTCTTCATACATACCCCATGTTTTAAAAAATCAAACCCATAGTTTCTTCCTCTTGTTTCCTAAATCCTTCAGTAGCTTGCCGCTGTGGTCTGGCTGACGGCTGGCTGCTCTTGCGCCGCACCGTCCGTAATGCTTCTAGTTCCTCGTCACCCCGTGTCAGCCGCGTGCCGCGAGCGTCTTTCTGTGCATTGGCGTTGGTAGTTTCTCTGTGCGGCGTTTTGCGCCATGGCGGATGGTGCGCAGTTGTGGGGGGGACACGAAACGCTGGCCGTGGATGAGCCGCGCGGGGAGGGGCTGTGCGTTGAGGGCGGACATGAAGCCATCGCGTTGGCGGAAGGCTTAGAGGCGAAGACTCACGTCCGCGAGACAGGCGCAGGGATCGGCGCGGACGAGGTGGCGGAGGGGGGAATCGGCGGAGATTTAGCGGAGTACCTTTGCGGGGCCGCGGAGCCGGAGGCGGTCGCGATGAACCCGATGAATGCGATCAACGCGATGAGCGACGACGAGATGTGGCGGGATGATTACGTGGCAGCTGCTGATTGCATGGCTTTCGACGGATCGCTTGCGGACGTCATGGCTGCTGCAGGCATAGGTGCAGACGTTTTGAGTAAAGACGAGCTTGTTTCGCATGCTATGGGGACTGGCCGTATGGATACAGATGAAATCGGTACAGGGGTATTGGATACGGTAGCGACGGTAGCGACAGACGGAATGGGAGACGGAGTGGTGACAGATGGACTGGTTACACATGGAATTGCTGCTGAGGGAATGACGATACACGCGATTGCGGCAGATGGAATCGTGACGGATGGAAATGTTGCAGGGGGAGCAGCAACAGATGAAGCAGTCGCACTCGCAATAGATGACGGAGTGGCTACAGACGGAGTGGTTAGAGACGGAGTGGCTACAGACGGAGTGGCTACAGACGGAGTGGTTACAGACGGAGTGGCTACAGACGGAGTGGCTACAGGCGGAGTGGTTACAGACGGAGTGGCTACAGACGGAGTGGCTACAGACGGAGTGGCTACAGACGGAGTGGCTACAGACGGAGTGGCTACAGACGGAGTGGTTACAGACGGAGTGGCTACAGACGGAGTGGCTACAGACGGAGTGGCTACAGACGGAGTGGCTACAGGCGGAGTGGCTACAGACGGAGTGGCTACAGACGGAGTGGCTACAGACGGAGTGGCTACAGACGGAGTGGCTACAGACGGAGTGGCCACAGACGGAGTGGCTACAGACGGAGTGGCTACAGACGGAGTGGCTACAGACGGAGTGGCTACAGACGGAGTGGCTACAGACGGAGTGGCTACAGACGGAGTGGCTACAGACGGAGTGGCTACAGAGAGAGTGTTTACAGATAACGCAGCAAGCGACATTACGGGCGCACAGCACTTACCTGCAGGAACGATGGGAGGCGTGGGCGGAGAGGCAGGTGCAGCAGCTGAAGGGGCTATTGTTGAGGCGCCTCAAGGGACGATAGGAGAGTCGAATGAAGAGGCAGGCGCAGGGACCGAGGGGAAGGGCGTCGATGGCAGTGGGAGAGGCGATGCTTCTAACCCTAGAATTGAGGTTCATAATGGGGTCGATTCTTGCCATTACGGTGCGGAGGCGAGCAATAGGGTTGAGAACGGTGCAGAAGAGATGGGGGCGATGGAGAATAAGATGGCGGAGAATGTTATGGCGGAGAATATTATGGCGGAGAATGATTCGGTGGGGAATGATATGGTGGGGAATATGGTGGGGGCGAGGGTGATGATGAACGTGAGTGGGCATGGCAGGGGAGAGAAGATGGATGAAGGGCGCGAGATGGGAAGGGAAGGTGCTGAGAAGGAGGAGGGGGAGAGGGAGGAGAAGCGGGATGAGAAGGGCGAAGAAAGGAAGGAGGAGGAGGAGGAGGTGGAGGAGGATGAGGATGAAGAGGAGGTGGATGTGGTGGGGTGTGACGAGGCAGGGAAGGAGGGGAGAGTGGTGCAGGGTGGTGATGCTGTGGTGAATATTCAACATGACAAAGCCGCTGACGTCACTGGAGATGACAAAGCCGCTGATGACGTCATGGGAGATGTCAAAGTCGCTGATGACGTCATGGGAGATGTCAAAGTCGCTGATGACGTCATGGGAGATGTCAAAGTCGCTGATGACGTCATGGGAGATGACAAAGCCGCTGATGACGTCATGGGAGATGGCAAAGTCGCTGATGACGTCATGGGAGATGTCAAAGTCGCTGATGACGTCATGGGAGATGTCAAAGTCGCTGATGACGTCATGGGAGATGTCAAAGTCGCTGATGACGTCATGGGAGATGTCAAAGTCGCTGATGACGTCATGGGAGATGTCAAACTTGTTTATGCGGTGAAGGGAGATGACAAAGCAGCAGGGGACGCCATGCAGGAGAGGGAGCAGGGTAAAAGTGTCTTGCCGGGTGGGGGGGAGACGAGGGATGAGCATGACGCGAGGGGTGGTGGTGCGTTGGTAGGTGAGGGTGAGGCGGAGGAGATGGGCGTGGATGGTGGGAAGGGTGAGGGTGAGTGTGGCGGAAGGAGGGAGATGAGAGATGCGGAGGAGATTGGGGGCATGGATGGAGCTACGAGTGAGCGTGGTATGAGGGGTATGGACGAGGTGAAAGGTGGAGGTGAGGTGAATGGTGGAGATGCAGTGAATTGTGCGGGTGAGGTGAATGGTGCGGGTGAGACTAAGGGTGAAGGGCAGGAGCTGGGAGAGGAGGTGAGTGGTGGAGAGAGGGAGGAGGAGAAGGAGAAGGAGAAGGAGAAGGCAGCGGAGGAGGAGGAGGAGGAGGAAAGAGGGGCCGTTGTAGGTGTGCGTGTGGAGGCAGGGGAAAGAGAGCTGGAGATGGAAGCTGGAGGAACAGCGGACGCTGACGGTGAGCAGCAGGTGCGGGAAGCAGAAGCTGGGAGATTGGAAGAGGCGGAACGGGAGATAGGGAGGTGTGAGAGAGAAGAAGAGGACAGCGGGAGGGAGGCAGGTGAGAAGGAAAAGGCAGCAGGCGAGGCCAAGGAACAAGAGGAGAAAGGAGAGGCGGAAGAAGAAGAGGAAGAGGAAGATGATGACGAGGAAGAAGATGAGGAGGAGGAGGCAGAGGAGGAAGGAAGAGGTGGGAAGAGAGGGTCAAACCTTGGCGTAACCAGAAGTGCTTCTAGGGCAGGGAGAGAGGAAGCTGGAGAACCACCGCTGTCCAAATCACCAGGAGGAGCAAAAGCAGGAGCAGGAGCAGCAGCAGGTGAACACCTGTGGCCCGTGAGCAAGCTGGTCTCACTCATATCAACCCAAGGGGAGGTTCTATCTGAGCAGGTGGTGACTCTTCAGCAGGTTGTTCTGGAGCAGCAACGGCTGGTGCAGCAATGCTCTGTGGAGTGGAGGGAGCAGCAGAAGCAGATTCAGCAGCAGGTGCGGCTGCTGCAGGTGCAGCAGAAGCAGCAGCAGCAGGCGTTGCAGCAGCAGCAGCAGGCGGAGGAGGAGGAGCAGCAGCAGCTGCAGCAGATCACCCAACGGCCGCGGTTCACACGACCCACGGATTGGGAGAGCGAGTGGGAGCGGAGGATCGGGAGGACAAGCGCGGGAGCAGGAGGAATAAGGAGTAGAGGAGGAGGAGAAGGAGGAGGGGGTGGGGAAGGAGGAGGAGGAGCAGGAGGAGGAGGAGGAGGAGTGGGGTGGAGAGGAGGAGAAGGAGGAGGGGGGCAGTTGGGGCAGGGAGGAGGAGGGGTGGAGGATGTGGGGCAGGTGCCGAGTCACATGTACATGCAGCAGCACCTGCTGCTCCCAGGGCAGATGCAGCTGCTGGAGGAGCTGGGGGAGGAGGGCACTGAAGCCACCTGGGAGAACCCTCTAGAGGAGGCTATGGTGGGTGCTTTGTGCTTGCCCTCTGCTCTCCTTGCTCCCTGCGCCCTGCGCCCTGCTCCCTGCTCCCTGCGCCCTGCTCTCGGCCTGCGTTTTTTGGCTCTGGGATTGTCCCATGCTTTGATTAATGCACCCACTCTCTTCCACTCCACTAATCTCCAACTTTTTCAACTCTTTCTCCTGCTCTCCTCTTCCTCTCCTCCCGCTCTGCTCACTGCCTCCCCTGTTTTCTGCTCCCCTTTTCTCACCCCTGTTCCCTCCTCACTCATGATTCCACCCCGTTTTTACCCTCTCTATCTCGTGTTGTTGCTCCGCCCTGGCCTCCCTGCACTGCAGGCGTCCATGTTACTTCACCCAGACGCAGGTACCGTGTACCGTACTGTCATTCCCTGCTGCACTACATTCCCTGGCACCGCACTGCACTGCACTCCACGCTGTTCCAACCTCCCTCGCACGGTTCTCACACCATTCTCATTCCAGTATCACACACACCATTCTTACACCATTCTCCCACCAGTTCCCCACCATTCTCGCACCATCCTCGCACGATTCCCCACGTTGACACTCCAACCATCGGCTAGCTGCTTTCCACCTTCATCATCCCCACCATCCGTCCACCTCTCAAGCCGCTTCAGATCTGCTCACCGTGCTTCGCCCTTCCTCCTCAATCTCACATCTGCCGCCAACCATTCCCCTCTACCGCTTCCTCTCTTTCCCCCCTCCTCATTCTGTTGTTTGTCCCCCACCTCCTTCTCGCCTCCCCACTCCCCTCTCTCCTCTCCCCGTCCCTCACTCGTGCATGACCACACGAGCATGGCACAGATTCAGAGGCAGCGTTGCAGCAGCATCTGGCGCTCTTCTTCTCTCTAAAGGACACCATCACTAAGAAAGAGGCCCGCGCTATCGCCACTGCCGCTGCCACCTCCTCCTCTCATGTGAGTTCTTGCCTTGAGACGTCGAGCATGGTACACAGATTCAGAGGCAGCGTTGCAGCAGCATCTGGCGCTCTTCTTCTCTCTAAAGGACACCATTACTAAGAGAAAGGCCCGCGCGATAGCCACTGCCGCTGCCACCTCCTCCTCTCATGTGAGAGGAGGCGAGAGGAGAGAGCTTGTTTTGAGTTACCCCTCAGCCTCCTCCTTGTTTTGTCTTCTCCTCGGCCTCCTCCTTTTTTACCCCTTCTTTTTTTCCGTTACCCGCTTCTCCCTTTTCCCGCTGCCTCCGTTTCTTCTCCTTGCTAACCTTTTGAATCCTGATGTTTTGTTTCTTTTCCTCCTCTTGTCTCCCTCGTCGCACCTCCTCGTCTCTCTCGCGTCTCATCTCCCCCTTCTCTGCCCCCTCATCCCCCCCTCTCCTCTTGGCCCCAACACAACATCAGGTGCGGGAAGTTTTTGGTTCCTTCCGCTCTCATATTTGCTCCCTGCTCCAGTCATTACCGACCACGTGTCCTGCACCGCAGCACACACCAACCACCACAACCACCAACAAGAACAGCACCACCAACAACAGTTCCTGCAACCACCCCACCACCAGCAGCGCCTCCCCAGCAGCGGCTCATCTTCCTGTCTCACAATCAGCACCTCTCCGCCTGTCCCAATCCCCAGACACACCCAAGAACCTTGCTCCCAAACCCACTGCTGCCTCTCTTCCCCTCTCCCAAACACCTCGTCAAACCCCACTTGCGGTCACCAGCACTGGTGCCAATGGCAGTGCAATCAGTGCAGTAGCCTCCAGCAAACCATCTGCACCACACCCGCACTCCTCGTCACCATTGTCTCACACAACCGCTCCTCACCCCCCTGTTTCCGGATCGAAACCCAACCCCGCTTCTAAAACCCCGGTGGTGACAAACCCCGTGCCATACAAATCCCCAGCAACCCCCGCAACCCCAGCGTCTAAGCTCCCAGCGCCCCTCTCTTCTGCATCCCACCCGGCCGCCTCCCACCTTCCTGCATCGCACCCTCCCGCGTCTCACCCGCCCCGCACACGGGCTGCTCTGGTGGCAAAGCGGCGATCATCCATGCAGGGCGGGAAGGAGATCTCAGAGTCGACTCAAAATAAGGAAGCACCTGGTGAACGCGAGAGAGAGAAGGAGCGAGTGGGAGAGGTAGAAGAGAGGCCAAGAGAAACTGACCTGGATGTTCTGTTGTCTAATGCTGAACGCGCCCTTTCGTTCTCTGCCAGCCCGGCTGCAAACACCCCCTCCTCCTCGTCTCTCTCTGCTCGTTCCTCAGCTCCTTGGTGGGAGGGGCTGGAAGAAAAGGCGATGGCAGCAGCACGAGAGGCAGAGGCCGAGGAAGCAAGCGCAGCAGCAGCAGCAGGAGGAGGAGGAGGAAAAGCAGGGATCTATGGCTCGTTTTTGCCCTCCGCATCTGCTGCTGTTGCTGCAGGTGCCGTGCCCGGCAGTGCATCTGCACGTGCTGGGTGCCAAGTTGCCTCTATTCTCGCCTCCCACCTGCGCCAGAGCACAGGGGGCTTCACGGCACAGCAAGCGTCGCTGCTGCAACTGCTGCTGGTTCGGCCAGTCTCGAGCCTGCGCAAGTGAGCATGGTAGTTGTTGCAAGTTAGTGGGGAAAAGGTGTGCCGAGTTCTGAGCAAGTGAATGTGAATGTGTGCACCTTTGCAACCGGCTTGATACCAAGCCAACGAGATGCAAGGGGTAAAAGACGAATGGCAGTTGTTGGTCTGTTTGTTTGTTTGTTTGTTTGTTTGTTTGTTTGTTTGTTTGTTTGTTTGTTTGTTTGTTTGTTCTTTTCAGTTATGACTGCTGGACGCAAAGGGCATGTGACAGTCGGTTAGCCGCGTTGGTATGGCAGGCCGCACTGCTATATGGTCGGTGCGGCTCCTGATACTTGTCATTATAAGCTCATCTGAATGTCACATCTCCAAGACATCGAATCGAGCTCTCCTTGTGGTTCTTTTCTCAGCCGCTGGGCTTTCTTCATCACACTCACATGCTCACTCACACTCGCACACACATACACTCGTGCACATACTGACGTTCGTGTTTCGGCTCACATGCACGCCTACATTCATTCATGTGCGTGCGTCCATGCATCCCGTGCGGAGCAGGCTATTTGAGGTGGAGAGCAAGGCGCCAGTGCTGGCAGCGTGGCTCAGGCATGCGGCAGAGGAGAGCCAAACCACCATCCTGCTGCTGCTGCTGCAGGTGGGCCTGCTTCCGCTTCTCCCCCTGCTCTTGCTGCTGCTTCCCCCTTTGCTGCTTGTGCTGCTGCTGCTGCTGCTGCTGCTGCTTCTTCTCCTGCTGCTGCTAGTGCTTGTGCCGCTGGTGCTGCCGCTGCTGCTGCTTGTCTCATGTCGGATGTACGAAGCTTGCAGTCAGCTGGGTGCAGCTTCAATAAACCAGTTTTCCACTCCGCCTTTCTTCCCCCTCTCCTCCTCTCTCCTCCCTCCACCCACTCCACTCCAACTACCCCTCCCTCTTCTCTCCCCTTTCCCTCTCTCGCACCACCCCCCTGCTATCACCCCCGCCAGTTACTGGCAGCTATACCAGTTTCCCTGTCCGACCGACAGGTTCTCACGTCCCGTCAAGCCTTCGCTGCAGGTTTTGAGGCATCTCAAAACTCCTCTCTGTGTTTCTCTCTCTCGCACCACCCCCCTGCTATCCCCCGCCCCAGTTACTGGCAGCTATACCAGTGGCCCTGTCCGACCGACCGGTTCTCACATCACTCAAGCCGCTGCTGCAGGGCCTCTGCTCCTACGAGCCCTCAGGTGGGCATGGCACCACACTGCACCGCACCAGCCAGCACAGCACAGTACAACACCGCACGGTACCCTATTGCACCACACCACAGACATGGCGCTGTATGGCACAGCTCAGCACAGCTCAGCACAGCACAGCACAGCACCGCACCGTACCGCACTGCACAGCGCAGCTCTCACGACATGGCCTCCATTAGCATTGGCATGCCATTGAACAGCACGCAGCACTCACCACTTCCATTCCTCCAATGCATGGGAGTGGGTGAGTGAGAGCCATGCTGCTTTAGTGCTCCATGTTCACAGCTCCCACCACTTCCCCTTCCTCTTTCCCTCTTTCCCATCACTCCATCATTTCCTTTCCCCGCTCCGCTCCCCTTTCCCGCTCTGCGTCATCCCAACCCACCCACATACGCCCCTCACTGTCCCCCCTCTCGTCTCCCCACGGTCCCCACCGTCCCTGCCCCTCCACCTCTTGCACGTGCCCATCAGTGCGGGTGAGCCACCGGGGCCAGCTTGAGAATTCTCAGAAGTTACACAGGGGCCCATGCTCTTTTCTCCTCATGGCACTCCGTTCCCCTTCCCCCCCATCCCATCCCATCCCCTGCCCCCGTGCGCTTCCTTTGCACGTGCCCATCAGTGCGGGTGAGCCACGGCGCTCATGTGCTGCTGTCCACGTGGCAACCTATCCTCACCCCGCCGCTCGTCCCTCTGCCCCAGTCGCCCCCGCTCTCGGCTGCCACCAAGCCCTCTCTGTACAAGGGCGGGCGAGGTGAGTGCTGAAGGGAGGGAAGCTCACGTGGGGAGCGTTTATCTCTGTAACAGCACTTGCTGCTGTTGCTGCTGCTGCTGCAGAAGGGGAGTTAAGTAGGCGCTCAACGTCTTAACTCAATCGACGCTCGCTTCTGCTGCTGCTTTCCTTCCTCCCCCCGTTAGCACCCCACCGTGCTTCTCTCAACCAAACAACCGATTTTTTTGCAACTCAGCAGGAATTGACTTCCCCTTCCCCCTGGCCCCCGCCCCCCTGTTTCCTCCCAACCCCGCCCCCAACCGCTCTTGGCCTACCCACTCCATCCCTTTCCCTTGTATGTGTGGGTTTACACTCGTGCAGTGATGCCGCCACCATCAGCAGCGCATTTCCGTCGCATGCGCGGCGCTGGAGCCAGTAAACGGTTCGTGGATCTCGCGAAACGAGCTCAGATAGGTGAGTGCGGTGGGGAGGGCGAAGCCATGCCATGCCATGTCATGCCATGCCATGCCATGTCATGCCATGCCATGTCATACCATGCCATGCCATGCCATGCCATGCTATGCCATGCTGTCTGGCTGTCGTCCCCCCACTTTCTCTCTCCTGTGCTTCTCCTTTGCGGTTTCACCCTGCCCACCTTGCCCTTCCCCTTCTCCACATTCCCACCCTTTCACATTCCACCAACCACACCCTTCCGCCCTGTCTATGTGACTTTCAAGTCGCGACTCAAACATCCTTTCGCGTTTTTGTCGCACACTATCACCCTGTGGATCTGCAGGCAAGGTTCTCTCTCGCCGCCGAGAGATCACTGCTCCCACTCCCGCCCAGGTACTAAATCAACCCCCGCTCACCACCACCCTCCACCATCCATTTGTTGCATCGTTATCCCCGTGTTGCAATTCTTGTAGTACTCTTCCCACGTCTCCACTGCCATAACCCCCCCGTACCGTATGATGCATCCACACCACCCACCTGTCACCCTTGACTGACACCCTCCCGTTGCTCACATGATATCCCATGCTAGCGTGTTCATGCATGTATCTGCAAGTGAGTGTATCTGTGAGTGCATGTGTCTCTGTCTCTGTGTCTCTGATTAACCATGTGTATCTCTATGTGTATGTGTGTGCATGCTTGCATGCATGCGAGGGGGTTGGGGGGGAGGGGGGTGCGCGTGCGCATTCTCGTTGCACGTATGTGTGGTTGTCTGTGTGAGAGTATGTGTTTGTGTGTGTGTTCGCGCGCGCGCGCGTGCGTGCGTGCATGCGTGCATGCGTGCGTGCGTGCATGCGTGCGTGTGTGCATGCGTGCGTGCGTGTGTGTGCGTGCGTGCATATGTGTGCGTGCGTGCGTATGTGTGCGTGCGTGTGCATGTGTGTGCGCGTGCGTGCATGTATGTGTGCGTGCGTGTGCATGTGTGTGTGCGTGCGTGCATGTATGTGTGCGTGCGTGTGCATGTGTGTGTGCGTGCGTGCATGTATGTGTGCGTGCGTGTGCATGTGTGTGTGCGTGCGTGCATGTATGTGTGCATGCGTGTCACCAGCAACCCACTGTGACATCCCCTACCAAGCACGCCTCTCAGTCAAAGGGCCTTCGTCTCTCAGCAGACGATGAGCAGCAGCGACTACTCTCAGGCAAGCTTTCTCCTCCCCATCTCCTCATCTCCTCATCGCCCTTCCCTCCTCTCTCCCCTTCCCTTCCTCTGCTCGCCATTCTCTCACTTTTCCCCTCCGCTCGCCATTTTGTCCTGCCTTTTGCACCCTCCCTCTCTTTTAATCTCACTGCTCTCTCTCCCTTGCGCTTTCCCTGTTCATCCCTCCCTCCCTCCCTCCCTCCCTCCCTCCCTCCCTCCCTCCCTCCCTCCCTCCCTCCCTCCCTCCCTCCCTCCCTCCCTCCCTCCCTCCCTCCCTCCCTCCCTCCTCTATCTCTCCCTCAGGCGACAAGCGTGCAGTGATGGTATCGATAGCATCACCACCCCATGCATTCGGCAAGCCCGCATCGCACAACCGCCCCCTCTCTGCGGACGAGATCATGCATGCCAAACGCCGCCGCATGTTGCACCAGCAGCAGCAGCTTGGGAAAAGGGAGCCAGACATGATGCTGGGAGAGAGGGCGGTTGGGGGAGAGGGAGAGAGGGAGGCGGGGATGGGTGGTGTACAGGTGAAGCGTGAACTGATGGGTGAGAAGGAGAGTGGAGGCGAGACGGCAGGGGGTGCAGGGGTGGGCGTGGTTGAGGCTAGCTCGACTGGGAAAGCGGGTAAGGAGCAAGGAGGGCAAGGCGTGAAGCAGGAGAGGAATGAGGAGGCTGTATTAGCTGCAGGAGGAGGAGGGGGAGGAGGAGCAGCAGCAGGGGTAGGGCTGAAGAGGGAGGACGTAAGTTCTGTGACGAAAGCAGCGCCTGCCAACATGTCGGCACGGCTGGGCAGCAGCAGTGGTGGCAGCGATGGGTTTGGAGGAATCACTCGCTCCTATGTGGGCCCAGCTCGATTGAGGTTCATGGGCAGAGGGGCAGGGCGAGGTGGTATGTCAGCAAGGGGAGGTGGCGGGGCACGGGGGACTGCTTTTCCTCCTGCTCTTTCTCCTCCTCCTGCTGCTGCTGCTGCTGCTGGCAGGGTGCGAGTGGATGGGGGCTTGGACTGGGGAAGAGGGGGCGTGGAGAAGGGGCGGAGTGGGCCGAGAGGTGCTGCTGGTGGGGGGGAGTGGATGATGGGTGCGGATACAAAGGATCATATACACGATGTGGGAAGCAGAACAGTGCTGGCAGGAGCAGCGTCAGCAGCAATGGCAGGCACAGCCACAGGAGCAGCAGCAGCAGCAGCGGCGGCGGCGGCGTCAGCAGCAGGAGTGGGTGTGCATGGTGTGAAGCAGGAACCTGAGGTGATGGAACAACTGTCTCAGCCCACTCACATCGGAATGCCAGCCTTTAGGGGAATCGGTTCAGCAGCAGAGGCAACAGCAAGTGTTCTGCACCAGGGCGCCGCTGCTTCCGATGATTCCCAGCAGAGATCCGCGTTTGAGCATCGTCACCAGGGGGTTACAGGGCCAGCGTTGAGTGGGGGATTAGGGGGTGCAGTGGGGTTTGGGGGATTGGGGCGGATTGCGCACACAGGGGGGCGCACACAGGTTGAAGCAGGTCCGTGGGCGCCCCAGGATGCGGAGATAAGGCCACAAGAGGTTGCTGCTGCTGCAGCAGCTGTGGGATCTGTAGCTGCTGTAAGAGTCGAGGACGGTAGGGGCGGTGAGTCGGGTGAGGGGGGTGTGATGGATGTGGGAGGTTTGAGGGGTGAGGCGAGTGTGGGAGGGGGGGGGCGTGAGGATGCAGGTGAGGGACGGATGGGCGCTGCTGCTGCTGGTGTTGCAGGGTGGGCAGAAGAAGCTACAGCGGGTGCCGCAGGGGCTATGGAGTGTGGGGAGGCTGCCGAGATGTTGGGGGTTGCAGAGCATGTGGGGGGTATGGGAAGCACGGCAGTGGAGGCATGGCAAGCAGATGGTTCTCATGCGGAGTGTAACCGGAACGAGTCTGGGAGTGCAATGGCGAGCGGCGGAGTCACTGAGGACGGAGCACTGGCGCGGGAGGAACGCAGTGAAGGGGTAGATGGGGCAGTATGTGTGGGAGTGAGGGGAGACGCTGCCGCTGGTGTGATGGTTGATGGTGCCGTGATGGGTGGTGCTGGTGCTGGTGGGAGTGGAGGAGGAGGAGAGGAGGCGGCGGTGGGGGCGACTTTTGAGTCGACTCAAAAGTCATCAGGTGTGATGGTTGATGGTGGTGGCATGATGGGTGGTGCTGGTGGGAGTGGGAAAGGAGGAGAGGAGGCGGCGGTGGGGGCGAGGGTAGAGCGGCTCAGCGGTGAGCGTGCAGCAGCAGAGGGCAACGTGGGGGTTGAACATACAGGGCAGGTGGGAAGTCCTCTGGATGAGGGTGGACAGCGTGAGGCTGCTGTGGCTCCTGTTCCCGTGGCTCCTGTTCCCGTGGCTGCCTCTGCTTCAGATTTGATGCGAGGGACGCGAGAGGAAGTGGCGGTAGCTGTGCGGACAGCAGTTACAGGGGAGCCTCCGCTAGAGGAACCAGGAGACGCATCAGAGGCACACCCTGCTGCTGCTGCTGCTGCTGCTGCTACGGTGGCGGCTGCTGCTGTTGGTGGGGTATCAGGAGAATCGGGGGGGGTTATTGTGGCGGAAACGGGAGAGGGAGAAGGAGCACGGCGGATGGGTGTGAAGGGGGAGAGTGGGGGCGGCAAGCGGGTGTTTGGGGTGGTGGGTGTGGAGGGGAGTGAAGCGGAGAGGATCAGTGAGGTGGCAGAGGTGGCAGAGGTGAGAGTTCATGGGGGAGAAAGCGCCGGGGGGATGAGGAAGAGGGCAAAGGTTGAGGGTGAGGGAGTGGAAAGGCGGATGGCAGGAGTAATTGCAGTGGCTGAGGACGGAGGGAAGGAGCAGCGGGAGGAGAGGAACAAGGAGGAGGAGGAGGAGGAGGAGGAGGAGGAGGAGGAGGAGGAGGAGGAGGAGGAGGAGGAGGAGGAGGAGGAGGAGGAGGAGGAGGAGGAGGAGGAGGAGGAGGAGCGGAAAGAGAAGGAGAAAGACGAGGAAGAAGAGGAGAGGAAGGAGAAGGAGGAGAAGGAGGAGGAGGAGGAGGAGGAGGAAGAGGATGAGGAGGCGTTAGATAGAATGGTAATGGAGATAATAGGGGTGCAGGATAAAGGTAGGGCGGAGCAGCACACGAGTGGCATGGGCAGCATGGGTGGTGAGGAGACGGCTGAGATGCGCAGGCAGGTGGCGGCTATGAGGATGGGCATGGTGCTGTGGCGCAAACCACCGAGTAAGTGCAAATCCACGTTGCCATCATGATGGATGGTGGTGCTTTCTTGCTGGCTTGTAGTCATGACAACCGATGCTAAGTGAGCCTCACTGACCCTCACCGACCTTCACCGACTCTCTCCGACCCTGACTGATTCTGCCCAAGGCTGTCCCTGTGGCCCTGTCTTCCTTCATGCACGCGCTGTACTACACACACATGTTGCCGCCCCGCTCTTCACCCTTAGGCATCCACATAAATCCCTACTAGCCTTCCTTCCCATCCGCCCTGTTTGCCCTCCCTTTCCGCCCTGCCTTTCTTTATAACAATAACTGTGTTTTCCTTCTTAGTTGCCCTTTTTCACCACCCTTCTTCTTTGCTGCACCCCCTTCGATTGCATGCGTGCAGGTGTCCTCCACGCGCAGTCCAGCCCGGTGGTGGTGGCACACAATCTCTGAGGCGCCTCATGCGCGCTATTTTGAGGCGTCTCAAAGATTGACTGCTTACCCGCCCTGCTTCCGTGCTGCCACCCATATGTGCGTGCAGGTGTCCTCCACTCACAGCCCAGCCCAGTGGTGGTGGCACACAATCTCTGAGGCGCCTCATACTTGGACTACCTACCCTCCCTGCTTCCGTGCTGCACCCCGTGTGTGCATACAGGTGTCCTCCACACGCACTCCAGCGCGGTGGAGGTGGCGCGGGGGGAGAGCAGCAGCGAGCTGAAGCGAGTGGAGCACCACATCGCAGCACTTATAGCCAAGGGCGTGCGCCGCACTCTCTTCCATGCCTGGTCGCCTGCCGAGCCTGCTCTTGAGAGTGACACGGGGGAGGAGGTGGATGATGATAGGACCCCGGTGATTACCACGGTTGTGCAGAGGAAGGTGGGGGAGGGTGGGGGTGGGGGAGGGCAGCAGTGGCGGGGTGGGCTGGAGGTGGGAGGAGGGGGGAGGAGCGGGGAGTGGGTGAGGCAGGAGCCATACCAGCAGCAGCGGCAGCAGCATGTGCAGCAGCAGCGGCTGCAGAAGCGGATTCAACAGCCGCACCAGCATTCGCATGTGCAGCATCATCGGCATCAGCATCAGCATGCGCACGGGAGCATTCGGCAGCCACAGCAGCAGTTGCAGCACGTCTCACAGCAACCGCACGATCCGTATAAGCAGCAGCAGCAGCAGCAGCAGCAGCAGCAGCAGCAGCAGCGGCGGCAGCAGCAACTACATCATTTTGAGCCACCACATAAGAAGCAGCGTCAGCAACACCAGGAAGCACAGTGGCCGCATCATCATCACCATCAGCACGGGCAGCAGCACAGCCAACAGCAACAGCAGCGGCAGCAACATCAGCAACATCAGCAACATCAGCAACATCAGCAACATCAGCAGCAGCATGAGCAGCATGAGCAGCATGAGCAGCATGAGCGTGAGCATGAGCAGCATGAGCAGCATGAGCGTGAGCATGAGCAGCATGAGCAGCATGAGCGTGAGCATGAGCAGCATGAGCAGCATGAGCGTGAGCATGAGCAGCATGAGCAGCATGAGCGTGAGCATGAGCAGCATGAGCAGCATGAGCGTGAGCATGAGCAGCATGAGCAGCATGAGCGTGAGCATGAGCAGCATGAGCAGCATGAGCGTGAGCATGAGCAGCATGAGCAGCATGAGCGTGAGCATGAGCAGCATGAGCAGCATGAGCGTGAGCATGAGCAGCATGAGCAGCATGAGCGTGAGCATGAGCAGCATGAGCAGCATGAGCGTGAGCATGAGCAGCATGAGCAGCATGAGCGTGAGCATGAGCAGCATGAGCAGCATGAGCGTGAGCATGAGCAGCATGAGCAGCATGAGCGTGAGCATGAGCAGCATGAGCAGCATGAGCGTGAGCATGAGCAGCATGAGCAGCATGAGCGTGAGCATGAGCAGCATGAGCAGCATGAGCGTGAGCATGAGCAGCATGAGGAGCATGAGCGTGAGCATGAGCAGCATGAGCGTGAGCATGAGCAGCATGAGCGTGAGCATGAGCAGCATCATGAGCCTGTGTTTTCTGCGGAACAGGAAGGCCTGGAGCAGTTCGACTTTGAGTCGCAGCTGGAGGGGCAGGTGGGACCTGGGGAAGGGTATGATGACCAATGGAGGGAGCCACAGCAACAGCAGCAGCAGCAGCAGCAGTATGAGCGGTATGGGCAGGGGTGGACTGAGGAGGAGTTTGCATTCAGAGAGCAGGGATATGAGGAGGCAGAAGAGCAAGCTTGGGCGTACAACGATCACTCACGTGGAGGGGAGCAAAGAACAGATGCGAAGAACCACAATGTCAGGCACCTGAGCAAACCACTAACTTAGCAGAAATACGGTAGCGCTTGATTTTCTTCCCCATTGTATCTTCTGTCTCTACCCGTTGCTCTCTTTGGTCTGGTCTGGCCCTTTGTTCTCGTTGCTTCATTCTACCAGGTAATTCCTTTCTCCTTTCTAGCGCTATGCTCTGCTCTCCTCTGCTCTTCGCTGCACCCCGACCGAGGCGCTCATGCATGCCTGCTCATCAGGGGCACATGCATGCCACAGCTTGTGTTGAAGCCAACGAAAGCCAATGAAACTGCAAACGGCATGCCTATGCACCTCATATCGAGCAGCAAACAATGGCTTTTTGGAGCAAATCGGCGCACCTCCCTTCAACTACCCTTATCCGGGCAGAAATATTCAAACTTACACAAGGTGGTGGTTCGGTGGCACATCTGGAATCTGAGCTCCGGTCTGGATTCCGAAGTTTGATGTGCTTGTTATCTACCTATGGTCTGGCTTCCACTGTTGAAGTCTTCATCCTTGTTCAGTGCAGTGTGTAGTACTTCTTTACTCTGCCTCCTCCCCTCCATTACCCATTCTTCCCTCTAATTGTGACTCCATATTCTTCCACGTTCACCCTCCTCTTTGCTCGTGTGAATGCAGTGGTCGGGCATGTGATGATGACATGGAATGCCAAAGCTGGAGCATGTGCAGTGCGCTATACATAATTATGAGCATGTGCTATTGGCAAATTGAGATACTTGAGGATAAGTTGGTGTATATCATGATTCATTGTTTGCATTTATTGTGATCCTTGAACCTTTATGGCGATGGGCTCCTCTGAAACTGACTCTAGCTCCAGTATGATAATGCACTATGGAGTGGCAATCATTGTTAAATGTGATAAACAGTAGTGAGGCATGTCATGTGGGGTACAAACATTAGGGTTTGTTATATATACCCTAACTGATTCTAATGACATCATTCTTTCCCATTCTGAGATGGTATCAGAGCCCAGGCTAAAGGGTACCGCTGCGTGGACCTCTGAGTCTTGACGTCGTCAGCGTAAGAGGAGTCACTGTGACCGGTAAGTACGACTCGTTGTCTCCCTCCAAGCACAAGCCCCATGCCTGATGTCGTCGCTAGGTGCTTCGCCACCCTCACAGCAGCTGTCCAGTGAACAGGACGGTGTCCCCCAGTCGCAACAAAGCGAGCAAGGATGCTGAGAGGGAAGTGTCAGAATCCTAAGCCCAGTTAGGGTTTAGGTTTTAGGAAAGAGAATTGAAGAAGAGGGGTTTGCACTAGCAAGCAGGTGGGATACATGTAGGAACCCTAAAAGGGTTGTACTCACTGTTGAGTACCCCACTACAGTCTACACAGCAAATAACAGTTTGACACACCCCCATAGGCGAAGTGGGGGATAGCCAACACAACAAGCAGTCGCAGGACCAGTTCACAAGCAAAGCCTACTGGCAGGAACAGAGGGCAAGTGAGGAGGAGGAGGAAACTGGAGAGGAGAGGAGGTGGGCGGCCGCTGAAGCTGCTGGCACTGGTCGCAAACGGCGTAACTGGCTCTGCTCGCCGGCAAGAGCAACTAACCCTCTGGGGACCGGAGCAACGGGTAACCGGAGTAACTGGCTCGCTCGCCGGCAAGAGCAACTGACCCACGGGCCTCTGACGCAACGGTCTCACGTGCGACTAGAGTTGCGAACTTCGCGGCGGCCACCCGCCCTCACCCCCCTCGGATTGTCCCACCCCCCTCGTGTCACACCCCTCGGCCCTAGCGCCACTCCCAAACCTCACCCACTCCATCCCCCCCTCAGCGGCAGCTGCAGCAGTGGGAGAGAGGGGAGGAGGAGGGGCGGCTGGTCACGCACTCCCACCACCCCCATACCCCCCCTTACCCCCGCCCCCCCATACACTCCACACGGCTGCACGCGCAGCAGGAAGTCGAAGGAGGAGGGGGGGGGAGGGCGGGCGGCGTCGCGACGTGCAGGGCGCAGGCGGGCTGCCGGGTCCAGGAGGGGCGGCGCGCAGGTCCCCAGGGGCGGCGCGCGGGTCCAGGGGGGCAGCGCGCGGGTCCAGCAGGGGCTGCGCGCGGGTACCGCAGGGCGGCGCGACGGGCGACGGGAGGGGGCGACGCGCGGGCCCCCAGGGCGCCGCGACGGGCGACGGGCAGGGCGGCGCGCGGGCCCCCGGGGCGCCGCGACGGGCGACGGGAGGGGGCGGCGCGCGGGCCCCCGGGACGCCGCGACGGGCGACGGGAGGGGGGACGGCGCGCGGGCCCCTGGGGTGCCGTGACGGGCGACGAAACCGCCGCGCGCGCCCGGGGCGCGCGGCGGGCAGGAAACCGCCACGCGCCCCGAGCGCGTGGCGGGCAGAAAACCGCCACGCGCCTCGAGCGCGTGGCGGGAAGAAAAAACGTCGCGCGCCACGGGGCGCGCGACAGACAGTACAGTAGCGGAAGCAGGTGGGCCCACAGGCCAGGAGCGTAAACGCTCTGATACCATGTCAGAATCCTAAGCCCAGTTAGGGCTTAGGTTTTAGGAAAGAGAATTGAAGAAGAGGGGTTTGCACTAGCAAGCAGGTGGGATACATGTAGGAACCCTAAAAGGGTTGTACTCACTGTTGAGTACCCCACTACAGCTTACACAGCAAATAACAGTTTGACAGGAAGACGAGGTCCGGGCGAGTACAAGTCATCAGGTACATGAGGCAGGCCACCAGCTCTGCGTACGGACCACTGGGCTCAAACGACTC